CATGTTAGGCTGGCTCACCCCACACATTAGACGCGTCTCGGACGAATAGTGTTGAGCGGGTTTTTTAGCGGTATGCGAGGCAAAATTTTAGTGATAAAATGTATCGGTGTGCGGATTTAACGTTATGTGATGCCAACGGTATGCGGGGGGTCCACTGTATCTTCCTGAATAAAAACTGAGAGGAAGTAAGTGTTGAAAATTTCACACATTTCCTTATCACTGTCAGTGATCTGACCTGAGTTAGGCCCACTTAAGAGTACAGTGGACCCTCCACCAACGGCATTAATCCGTTCCAGAGGGCTTGCCGTTGGTCGAAATTGCCGTTGGTCGAGTTAATTTTCCCCATAAGAAATAATGGAAATAGAATTAATCCCTTCCTGACACCCCAAAGTCTGAATTTTTTTTTTTTACGTGTAATATACATTTCCTTATGTGGAAAGGAATGGGACATGCAAAATAAACAATAATTAAATGCCCCTTACCTTTATTGTGGAGTTGTTGATGAGTGATGTGCCAGCAGCAGGGGAAATTCAGAAGTGGGGATCAGTAACAAGTGGCGTTCCACAGGGATCAGTCTTGGGCCCGTTGTTGTTTATAATATATATCAATGATCTTGATGAAGGAATTACTAGTGATATGAGCAAATTCACCGATGACACGAAGATAGGTAGGATAATTGATTCAAACGTAGATGTTAGGGAACTTCAGGAGGATTTAGACAAACTCTACTCTTGGTCAGAAAAGTGGCAGATGCAGTTCAATGTAGATAAATGCAAGGTTCTGAAGCTCGGGAGTGTCCATAACCCTAGCACTTATAAGTTAAATAATGTAGAACTTAGCCATACAGATTGCAAAAAGGACTTGGGGGTTATGGTAAGCAGCAACCTTAAACCAAGACAGCAATGCCTAAGCGTACGTAATAAGGCAAATAGATTACTGGGATTTATATCAAGAAGTGTAAGCAACAGAAGTCCAGAGGTCATACTGCAGCTTTATACATCATTAGTAAGGCCTCACCTAGATTATGCAGCTCAATTCTGGTCTCCATATTACAGAATGGACATAAATTCGTTAGAAAACATTCAGCGTAGGATGACTAAATTAATACATAGCATTAGAAATCTTCCTTATGAAGAAAGATTGAAGACTCTTAAGTTACATTCACTTGTTAGACGAAGAATGAGGGGAGAACATAAGAACATAAGAAAGGAGGAACACTGCAGCAGGCCTGTTGGCCCATACTAGGCAGGTCCTTTACAATTCATCCCACTAACAAACATTTGACCAACCCAATTTTCAATGCCACCCAAGAAACAAGCTCCGATGTGCAAGTCCCTCTCAAATCCAACCCCTCCCACTCATGTACTTATCCAACCTAAATTTGAAACTACCCAAAGTCCTAGCCTCAATAACCCAACTAGGTAGACTGTTCCACTCATCAACTACCCTATTTCCAAACCAATACTTTCCTATGTCCTTTCTAAATCTAAACTTATTTAATTTAAATCCATTACTGCGGGTTCTCTCTTGGAGAGATATCCTCAAGACCTTGTTAATATCCCCTTTATTAATACCTATCTTCCACTTATACACTTCAATCAGGTCTCCCCTCATTTCTTCGTCTAACAAGTGAATGTAACTTAAGAGTCTTCAATCTTTCTTCATAAGGAAGATTTCTAATGCTATGTATTATTTAGTCATCCTACGCTGAATGTTTTCTAACGAATTTATGTCCATTCTGTAATATGGAGACCAGAATTGAGCTGCATAATCTAGGTGAGGCCTTACTAATGATGTATAAAGCTGCAGTATGACCTCTGGACTTCTGTTGCTTACACTTCTTGATATAAATCCCAGTAATCTATTTGCCTTATTACGTACGCTTAGGCATTGCTGTCTTGGTTTAAGGTTGCTGCTTACCATAACCCCCAAGTCCTTTTCGCAATCTGTATGGCTAAGTTCTACATTATTTAACTTATAAGTGCTAGGGTTATGGACACTCCCGAGCTTCAGAACCTTGCATTTATCTACATTGAACTGCATCTGCCACTTTTCTGACCAAGAGTAGAGTTTGTCTAAATCCTCCTGAAGTTCCCTAACATCTACGTTTGAATCAATTATCCTACCTATCTTCGTGTCATCGGCGAATTTGCTCATATCACTAGTAATTCCTTCATCAAGATCATTGATATATATTATAAACAACAACGGGCCCAAGACTGATCCCTGTGGAACACCACTTGTTACTGATCCCCACTCGGATTTAACCCCATTTATGGACACTCTCTGCTTCCTGTCTGTGAGCCATGATTCGATCCACGAGAGCACCCTTCCCCCAATGCCATGAGCTGCTACTTTCTTCAACAATCTCTGGTGCGGAACTCTATCAAATGCCTTACTTAAATCTAAGTAAACAATATCAAATTCTTTATCGTGGTCTAAAATTCTTTATCGTGGAGACCTGATCGAAGTGTATAAGTGGAAGATAGGTATTAATAAAGGGGATATTAACAAGGTCTTGAGGATATCTCTCCAAGAGAGAACCCGCAGTAATGGATTTAAATTAGGTAAGTTTAGATTTAGAAAGGACATAGGAAAGTATTGGTTTGGAAATAGGGTAGTTGATGAGTGGAATAGTCTACCTAGTTGGGTTATTGAGGCTAGGACTTTGGGTAGTTTCAAATTTAGGTTGGATAAGTACATGAGTGGGAGGGGTTGGATTTGAGTGGGACTTGCACATCAGAGCTTATTTCTTGGGTAGCATTGAAAATTGGGTTGGTCAAATGCTTGTTAGTGGGATGAATTGTAAAGGACCTGCCTAGTATGGGCCAACAGGCCTGCTGCAGTGTTCTTCCTTTCTTGTGTTCTGATGTTCTTATGTCTATTGCTTGGAAGGAGAATCCCCTTCCAGAAGGACTTCATTTCCATCATAATTCTCACCCTTTTTAACACAGGCTTGGCACTAGGTTTCTTGGGACCCATGGTGGCTTACTTAGTGATTACAAGCACTAGAAATAGTGGAATTATCCAAAATATATGGGAGGCACACATGGAAACTGACCGCAACAGCTTGTAAACAATGGCACACTGACTCTTGGAGTGGCTGGGCCCGCTCAGGCCGCGCTCTGGGCACGTCGACACATTCCGGACAAACGTCGTTGGTTGAGTTTTTCAGCTGTTGGTCAAGCATTTTTTTCTACGGTAAAATGTTCCGTTAGACGAAATTGCCGTTACTTAATGCCGCTGTTAGTTGAGGGTCGACTGTATCTTGTCCCTAATCTTACTTCTGTATACCTGAAAGAACCCTTTTGGGTTAATCTTTGAATCCCTTGTGACCTTAGCCTCATAATCCCTTTTTGCTTTTCTTATTCCTTTTTTTATTTCAACGCCCCTGCGGCCTGGTCTGAGACCAGGCCTCATGGTGGATCAGGGCCTGATCAATCAGGCTGTTACTGCTGGCCGCATGTAATCCAACGTATGAACCACATCTTGGCTGGTCAGGTACTGACTTAGGTGCCTGTCCAGTATCTGCTTGAAGACAGCCAGGGGTCTATTGGTAATCTCCCTTATGTATGCTGGGAGGCAGTTGAACAGTCTTGAGCCCCTGACACTTATTTTGGTGTCTCTTAATGTGCTAGTGGCACGTTAAGAGATATTAAAGATGTTTCATCATCTGCCGAATCTTTTGCTTTCATAGGGAGTGATTTTCATGTGCAGGTTTGGTACTAATCCCTCTAAGATTTTCCAAGTGTATATAGTCGTGTATCTCTCCCACCTGCATTCTAGGGAGTACAGGTTTAGGAACTTAAAGCATTCCCAGTAATTGAGGTGTTTTATCGCAGTTATGTGTGCCGTGACGGTTCTCTGTACATTTTCTAGGTCAGCATGCCATGAAGGTTCTCTATATTTTCTGGGTCAACAATTTCACCTGCCTTGAAAGGTGCTGTTAGTATGCAGCAATATTCCAGCCTAGATAGAACAAGCGACCTGAAGAGCGCCGTCATTGGCTTGGCATCCCTGGTTTTGAAGGTTCTCATTATCCATCCTATCATTTTTCTAGCAGATGCTATTGATACAGTGTTATGGTCCTTGAAGGTGAAATCCTCTGACATGATCACTCCCAGGTCTTTCACATTAGTTTTTCGCTCTATTGTGTGGTTGGAGTTTTGTTTTATACTCCGATGAAGTTTCAGTTTCCTCACATTTTCCATATCGGGGTACAATTGAAATTTCTCATCATTAATTTCATATTGTTTTCTGTAGCCCATTTAAAGATTTGGCTTATGTCTGCCTGGAGTCTTGCAGTGTCTTCAATGGAGGTCACTGTCATGCAGATATGGGTGTCATCTGCAAAGGAAAAATATCACTGTGGCTTGTATCCCTGTCTCTGTCCGATATGAGGATGAGGAACAAGATGAGAGAGAAGACTGTGCCTTTTTCTCTCATCTTTTCAAAGTCCTCATTTCCCTTCTCGCCTTTGTCTAATCTTATTTCTGTTTTCTTCTATTTTCCTGCTGTATTCCTACTGTATTGCAGTTTTATATTTATACTAACACACTGCAGTTATTTTTTTTATTTTTTTTTTTCAACACGTCGGCCGTCTCCCACCGAGGCAGGGTGACCCAAAAAAAGAAAGAAAATCCCCAAAAAGAAAATACTTTCATTCAACACTTTCACCACACTCACACATTATCACTGCTTTTGCAGAGGTGCTCAGAATACAACAGTTTAGAAGCATATACGTATAAAGATACACAACATATCCCTCCAAACTGCCAATATCCCAAACCCCTCCTTTAGAGTGCAGGCATTGTACTTCCCATTTCCAGGACTCAAGTCCGACTATATGAAAATAATATAATAACCTGTTAAACAGTTTTATATTCCTACTAACCTATTGCACTGTTAGTTGAATAGTCATACTAAGTACACCATCTATTCCTTTGTGCATTATATATATACTTTATTCTAACATTAATGACTTAGCATTATATCCTCAGGTTTTAAACTTCCCCCGGAGAAACCCAAGGAGGCACATTTTGACTCCAACTGTATCACCCCTGGCACACCCTTCATGGATCGTCTGTCTAAGTGTCTTCATTATTATGTTCACGAACGACTCAACACCGATCCGGGCTGGAGGGGTGTTAAGGTTTGTAAAGTCACAAGCTTATATTTTTGGATACGAGATGATAAAATTTACCTTTGTGCTCATTGAACTGTGTGAATTTGTTCTAGTTACTGATATTTTGATTTTCCAATTATGAACAGGTAATCCTTTCGGATGCAAATGTTCCCGGAGAAGGCGAGCACAAAATTATGGACTACATCCGTCGCCAACGAGCGCAGCCCGACCATGATCCTAACACTCAACACTGTCTCTGTGGTGCTGATGCTGATCTCATTATGTTGGGATTGGCTACTCACGAAGTTAATTTTACCATAATTCGTGAAGAGTTCAAACCAAATAAACCTAAACCTTGTGATATTTGTGGACAGCTTGGTAAGTATGATAAGGGGGCTATGATTGCACTAATATTTATGAAGAATACATTATGCTTGGCAAATCTTTAACTTTTTGTTTTTGATTTATGTATTTTTTTTTTATCCATGAGAAAACTGAAAAAAAATTCTTCCTCCGTAAGCTATGCATGTCATAAGAGGCGACTAAAATGTCAGGAGCAAGGGGCAAGTAACCCCTTCTCCTGTATAAATTACTATACTATATGGGATGTTGGAGTCAGAGAAGTAATCTGATTGTGATGTCAGCATACTTCTGCAAAGACTGCAGTCAAGTGAATGTTCGTGAATGTATTTTCTTCTTTGGCCACCCTGCCTTGGTGGGAGATGGTCGTTAAGTTTAAAAAATAATGAAATATACATTTCCCTACAAAGAAAACAATGAGACATGCACAATAACTACATAAATAAATGTTAAAATGACACCTTTATTGAAGAGTATTGATGAGTGTTGAGACACTGTTTTTCTTGAACACACTGGGATTTTCAGAGTGATACATGAGTAAAGGCTTCACTTTGCAATCCCCACTAGCATTACAACAAAACATGAGAGTTAGCCTGTTTTTCATAGGTTTGTGTCCGGGAGTCCCTTTTTTTCCCCCGAGAAAAGTAGGCCCTGTTTGGGCATTTTCTTCCAGAACGGTGTTTTGTCACAATTGAAAACTTGTTGGGTTGGAATTTTTCAGCTTTGCCTGCCATCACACGTATGTCCATCGATTCTTAAATTCTTAAACCAACCTTTGTGGCCTTAAATTCACCAATATGATACAGTTATATATATAAATTAATATAATAAAATAATTTTTTATATATATATTATATATATAATAATTATATATATATATATATATATATATTTATATTAATATATATATAATATATATAATATAAATTTTTTTTTTTTTTTTTTCAACAATCGGCCGCTCCCACCCAGGCGGGTGACCCAAAAAAGAAAAAAAATCCAAAAAGAAAAAAATTTCCTCATTCAACATTTTACCACATCGCACTTTTTCACTGTTTTTGCGAGGTGCTCAGAAACAACAGTCTAAAGCATTCACTATAAAGAAACAACATACCCCAACTGCCAATACCCAAACCCCTCCTTTTAAATTTAGGCTTGTATTCCCATTTCAGGGCTAAGTCCCACATATGAAAATAATTAAAATATATTTTAAATTTAAAAATATATAAAAATATATTTTAAAATAATATTATATAATATATATATATATTAAAAATATATTATAATAATATATTATAATATTTATATATATTTAAATTTTTAAAATATATATTTATATTATATATATAAAAATTTTATAATATATTTTATATAAATTTTTAATTTATAATTTTTTTTTTTTTTATTATCACACCGGCCCATTTCCCCCCAAGGCAGGGTGGCCCCAAAAAGAAAAACTTTCACCATCATTCACTCCATCACTGTTTGCCAGAAGGGTGCTTTCACTCCGTTTTTAAACGGGAAAATTAACACCCCTCCTTCAGAGTGCAGGCACTGTATTCCCATCCCAGGACTAAAGTCCGGCCGCGGTTTCCCTGAATCCCTTAAAAATGTTACTTTGCCACCCCCAACAGCCGTAAGTTTTAAAAACCCCATTTGTCTCCTTCACCCCTATCAAACACGCTCAGGGCATGCCTGTGGAAGCCAAGCCCTGCACACAAAATCCTTTACCCCTCCCCCACCCTTCCAGGCGCCCCCTCCCCCGCCTTCCTTCCTAAAACTGTAACTCTTAAAGTCTTTCTGTTTCGCTCCATTTTTACATGCCCGAACCTCAAAAACCCCTTCCTCAGCCCTTGGACAACAGTTTTGGAAAACCCCGCACCCCTCCTAACTTAAAACTCGAATTTTCCCCGTTTTTTTTCAAAAACCCACATTGCCCTCGACATGACTTTCCCCACTCCCTCCCCCTTTCCTCGCTGAAACATTCATAAACATGCTTCACCCCCCATATAAGACTTTGGGTAAAACTATATTCTTACTTTCCCCCCTTTTTGTCCAAGGACAAAGTTCTCTGTCTCCAAGACCCCAAAGGACCCACTCACTTTTTTCCCCTCATAAATTTATGATTCACCTACTTCTAGCCCCATCCGCGGGACAGTCCACTCCAAAATATCGAATATTTTACCTCCTCCAACTCTCTCCCCCCCAATTGATTTCAATTTTTCATCCCCAAATTTTTTTTTTGTTTCCTCAAAACCTTATTTTTTTCCCTGTATTCCCCTTTAATTTTTTTTTTTTGAAACCCCCTCCCAAAATTTCATCCCCCAATTGCAGTTTCCCTTTGAATTTCCCCCAAGAGACTGTTTCAGAAAGAGCAGTGTGAAACTCCCCCCCTGTGTGTGATTTTTTTCTTTTAACCCCACCCCTTTGCCAAGCCCCTGCTTTACTTCTCTTAACCCCCCCATCTATAAAATTATTAAACAACCCGGTGACATCACACTTCCTTGTCTAAGGCTATTTTACGGGGAAAAAAAAATTTCCTTTTTCTAATACTCAAACTTGACCCTCACTTCCTGTAAAACTTTTCACTGCTTTCGTAAAACCTCCTACCCTTTTCACTTGAAACATCTGACTTTCCCCCCCTATCCACCTGTCGTACCCCTTTTTCCAAACCCCATAAAGCCACAAAGATCTTTGCCTTATCTAAATACGTTATATATGTTTACAGTAAACACCTGGTCCAAAACCCCCCTCCCTTCCTAAAGCCCCCTTTTTATTGCTTCCTATTTCCGTCTTACTCTTATTCTTTCAATTATCTTCCTAACTTTCCCCGGAAAATCAACAATTATCCCCTATAATTTTTGACTCTCTTTTTCCCCCTTTGCCTTTATACAAAGGAACTAGATGCTCTCTGCCAATCCTAGGTACCTTCCCCTTTCCATACTTTATTAAATAATTGCCCAAACACTCCAAAACTGTATCCCCCCCTGTTTTTAAAACATTTCTTCTTTATCCATAAATCCCGGCTGCCTTCCCCTTTCATTTTACACTGCCTCAGAATTTTCCCCACACTAAAAAGGGCTCTTCCTCACCCCACAAGATGTTTTCCCTCCTTGCCCTATACCAAAATCACGTTCCCCTATTTTCCCAAAAAACATTTAAAAATTCCTCAAATACCCCTCCATTTTTCCCAATCCCTTTAAATCCCCATTTAATAACTCTCCCCCCTTTTTTTAACTGAAAACCCTTTGTTCTCTGGTTTCCTTAACTTGTTAAATCTCCCCCAAAATTTTTTCTATTTTCAACAAAATTTGTTGATAAAAGCTCCCCCACTCTTCATTTGCTCTCTTTTTTCTTGCTTCACCCTTCTTAAACTTCTCTTTTCTCCATTCTCTTCCCCCCTTATCACTTTACTTTGTAAAAATTCTCATATGCCTTTTCTCCCTTTCTTCTTTACATCATCTTCCCCAATCGTTCTTCCTCCGCCCCACTTTCCCGTAACCACAAATTCTGCTGAACACACAACACTATTTTTTTAAACCTACCCATTCCTTTTCGACCCATTGCCTATGTTTCCCCATTCCCCTTTAATCCCCCAATAGGTTTATATTTACCAACTGCCCCCTCTTTTAGTTTATAAACCTTCACCTCTCTTCCCTGTGTTTTTCTCCTTGTATCCCATCTACCTTTTACTTCGTGTAGTACAACAGAAAGGATCGATATATCTGTGGCCCCGATAAACATGTCCCATCCTGAAGTTACTCAACAGTCTTTTTTTCCCCAATCAAAAACCAACAAATACGTCATTTCCCCCTACTCAATGTGTTTACTTTTTTTCCCCTTTTTTCTTAAAATATGTTTTCCCTATAACTAAACCCCTTTCTAAAAAAGTTCAATCAAAGGCCCCATTATCATTTACACCGGGCCCCCCAAACTTACTACCCCCCCTTCTAAAAGTTTCTCCTACTTTAGCATTCAGGTCCCACCAAAATTACTCTCCATTTGGGTTAAAAGGTCCTATACATTCACTTAACATCCCCCAAAATCTCTCTTTCCTTGCATTCCTTCTTCTCCAGGTGCATACACGCTTTTATCCCCCACTTTGCATCCAACCTTTATTTAATCCAAAATTTCTAAAATTTTACACTTCTTTCTCTTTTCTCCTTCCATAACTGATCATTTAAATTACTGCTACCCCTTCCTTTGCTCTAACTCTCAGTACTCCAGATTTAACCCCATTTATTCCCCCCACTGAAACTTCCTCCCCCTTCAGTTTTTTTGCTTAGAGCCAGGAATCCAACTTTTTTTCATTAAAACATCAGAAATCATTGTTTCTTGTCATCCGCATCATCCACCCCTTTAAAAACCCATTTTTTATAAAGTTTTTCTTTTTTTTTTTTTGTAAATTATACAGGAGAAGGGGGTTCTACCCCATTGCTCCCGGCTTTTAGTCCCCCTCATACGCAGCTGGCTTACGGGGGAAAGATTTTTTCCACCCCCCAGGACAATGAAAAAAAAAAAGAACAAGAGCATTTAAAAAGGAGAAAAACCCTAATGTATGATTATTATATATGCATGTGCGTGTCGTGAAGAGGATATGTGGAGTCAAAAAAGTTTTCTATGGAGGCAAAAAAGGGAAGTATGAAATATAGTAGTCCCAAACATTTTTTAAATGGATGTAAAGCTTGGGTGGAAAAAGCGCAGGGGAGAGGGTTTGGAGGCAGTGGAGATGTTGTTCTAAGGGCAAGGGGGTGAAAATATTATGCAAAAAATTGGAGTGGGGAAAATTTAGGAAAAGGTGTGGAGTAATAAAAGCATTAGTCAGAGGGAGAAGAGGGGTTGTTGAGGGGTTTGGTATTTAGAGAGAATGGATCAAAGGGAATGACGGGAAAAGATAAAATCTTGGGGGGAAGGAAAGAGGGGTAGGGGTCGTCCTGAAAGGGTTTGGGAAAGGGGGGGGTAAAGGATGTTTTGTGGGTAAGGGGCGGGGACTTCAGCAAGCGTGCTTGAGCTGTTAGATA